AGGAATATAGCTATTGCATGAACATTGGAGTTCCACTATTTTCTCCTTCCATGAATGATCTTAACTTCTAAGAGTTAAATCCCTGAGCACCTTATTTTCAGAAAGCACCTTACTTTTGGAAACCTAGGATTAGTGGAGCACTGTTCTCTCCTTTACTCTTTACTGCCCTCCATGCTTCCCCACCCCACCCCCTGCGACCCCGCTTTTAAACTGATTTTTTTAGAAAAGGAAATGGCCGAGGCCCATTTCTGCTGAAAGGACAAGGAGAAGATAAGTGAGACTTCTCACCTGGGACAGGAGACAAGTTGATGGTGAGCAGCAGCAGCAGCAGCAGAGATGTGGAAGTGAAGCTCATTCTGCCTGGAGGTGGAGTTCAGGCTTCAGCTCTGAGTTCAAGCAGTGGGTTGTCAGCCCGGGAGACTCCTATTTATTTACACCAATAAGGAGGGCCCTCCCACTGCCTTTGTCTCCAGCAGGTCAGCTGTATCACTACTTGTAAAAGCCCCCAAATATTGCTGAGCTTGCTCTTTTTCTTTTCTTTCTTTCTTTCTTTTTTTTTTACTGCCTCTTGCAAACTTTATGAATTTGCTACAGAGGACTATTAATATATAATGAAATCATTCTTGAAAATATATACTAGAGAAGCCAGAGATGCTGCAGGATGCTGGAGTGGGGAGAGAGGAGAAAAGATATCAGGTTGGAGGCTCCAAGCCCCTCTCTCTGGGCTCACTACCAGGGTTGTGGCTTCCATTGCTTCTCTCTGGAAGGGCCAGTTGACTCTCTTAAGGGCAACCGAATGACATTAGGAATTTTGTCATTCACAGCATCGTATCCCCAGCTCCCTGCAGCGATGCTAGCTCCTGGTAAACGTTCAGTTAATATTTGTAGATCCTGGTGTGGATTAGATTACTATTTCCCCACCATTTATTTTAGCATATGAAAAGTAAGATTACTTACCAAAGTTGACGATCATGGAAATTCTGGAAGGGGGCAGTGTATGCCCCTCCTTGGTGTGCCCGTGTCTTGATGAGGGTAGACCCATAATAGCTTTGAGCCAAGATATCTTGCTGGCTCTTGTACGCACGTCATTGAGTGGGAGAATCACATGGCAATGGAGGGATTAATGAGAGCTTTCACAGCTGTTGAGACCCCTGTTACAATCTCAACTAATCATAAGCTGTTTAGTGTAAGCGTCTATACAGTTTGGATTTGATTCTGGGAGAGTGGGCGGGCAGATTTAGCTTCCTT